GGTGAGTTCGTTCCACAAAAAAGTCAGTTCGTTCCACATATGAAAAGTCGAGTAAATTTTTCTAAACTTGTTGATTGAACTTTATCGAGAAGAAAAACGTTTCGTTCATACCACAAGCTGATAAAATAACAATCCATCCAAAGCCCATGTCGTTTGAAAACAAACAAGAAACGATTTCAACCAGCCACGTTCCGCAATGCATAGTGAAATTAACATACAGCGCTCGCAACATTATGTAAATAGTTCTGAAACTACTTTCATCCATGTTCCTATCGCTAGTCTGTACTCTGATAACATTTACACATTTAGAAAATAGATATAACATATGTGAAACGAACTGACTTTTTTGTGGAAAGAACTGACTATTTTGTGGAACGATCTGACTATTGATTGGAACGATCTGACTTGGAACGATCTGACCATGGAACGAAATGACCGGACACCTCTGCATGTACATAGTAAATATATCTTACTACAGTTCCTTGCATGCAGAAGAATTTGACGCAGAGATGTCTCTACGAAACTTATAAGCAAAGAAGCCATCAAGGCGAGTTTTTCAAACACAACAACGTACTACACGTACACGTCATGCTAACTGCTTCTGGAATAGCCTCCGAGCAGAGACAGCCTTTCCACCCTCCAGTCTGCTGCCATCGATCGTGTGATATTTGGGAAGTTTAGATTAGCGTTGTTGAGCCGGGCATGTGTGTGTTAATAAGAACAGCTACAATTTGTTCATTTGAGGCACAGAGTAGCACAATAATTTAAACCAAGCTTTATATTTTGTATTTGTCGAAGTTGAGTACGTAGTTCCTGTCCCTTTATATCGGCAAACTGTCAATATTATGCTTTTAAATTTACATTAACTAAGACTAATTCGTTACTTACGAATATGGGCATCGACTATTTCTTTTCCACGAAAAGTACTCATATCCTAGTTCCTTTTACTTATTACAACAAACAAATTCGATTTCTCATTGAGAAATGGTTCGCAGCGAGGTCTTTCCGGTGGCTTGCAGGCTAGACCGCGAGCGACCTGGGCCGACTGAGAAAGCCCGGCTCCTCTGTCGCAGGTGTTTTTAGGGGAGCTCGTATTTCTTCCCTAAGAAATACGAGCTCCCCTAAAAACACCTGCGACAGAGGAGCCGGGCTTTCTCGGGCTATCGCCCGCGCTGTTTGTTTCAAAATTATTTGTTAACGTAATGTTTAATGTTGTGTAACATATCCAATGAAATGTTCCTGGGATAGAATCAACCAACCATTTATTGTTTTATTTTTGATCATTTTACGGTTTGTCACATGTGACATTTTATAAGGTAAGTCGATTTTATTTAAAAACATAACATTTTTTCTCTTTTAAGAAAAACCGTTTACATCCCATGCAAGCCTTTGTAAATAAGTGTTTGTAACACAACACCGCACGCAAGCGGCATAGTGTATTTGGAGGACTGGACTGGACTGGACTGGACTGGTAAAATGCGGACTGGTAAAACGCGAACTTGTAAAACGCGGACTTGTAAAACGCAAAAAAATTGTTGGCTTTATTAGCACGATCATCTACTATTCAAAGAACTTCTCAAGTGAAAAATGTATGCAGTACAAATAAATCTACAAATAAGATTCATAATCTAAGTTAGCGTCATTGTTATATGTATCATGTAACATTGTTAAGTAATAGTTGTATCTAGAAATGAACGTGATTGTATTGTAGGTGTTTAATAGCAATAAAAACTGCATAACTTTGGAGACTAGAGCCGACAATTTTCGTTTTGTGACGAAACTGAGTTAAGACTTTTTCACTAAACTAACAATCCCAGATGCTACATACATCTCTGAACTGTTCAACGACGTCAATAACAATAAAAAAAAAAGGTTACCTTGAAAAAAGAGGTATCATAACTCCTAACAATAACGTATGCAATACAAATAAATCTACAAATAAGATTCATAGTCGAATTTAGCGTCATTGTAATCTGTATCATATAATATTGTAAAGTAACAATCCCAGATTCTACAGTTCGACGTCGTCAATAATAATAAAAAAGTCTTAGTTTTCAATGTCTGATGCTTTCAAATAGTCGGGGCATGATATGGTGACATGATTGTAACAGACCACAGTCCAACTAGAACCTTACAGCAAGCCTTTTTACGATCATCTGTTTGTGTTCTTGGAGAAGAAACGGTTGGAGATCGGCTGGTATTCGGCATAAATTTGGCTCGAAGGAAGGAAAGGTCACCCTGATGCAGAATGGGTTGACATGGTAGTACACATTTGAAATATCGGGGGCACCCAACGAGGATATAGTTCAAAACCACTTAACATAGCATTGTTGAACGTATTTTAGTATTCAAACGGTAGATATACGCATATTTTTATCCCCTAAAAACTTTTCATCTGTTCGCATTTCCTAGCTGAAAGTTCAGTGATCCGAAAATTTTAGGGATAAAAACTTACCTTCTCGAAACTTTCAGCCAGGAAAAGGCTCCCGAAAATTCTAGGTGGCCTTTTTTAGGGTCAAAATTCGTTAAAAACGGGTAATTATACCATTTTGTAGATGTTCTAAAATCCTAGGAGAGGCAGGCAAGCAAGAAATTTTACAACAAATGCTCCGAAAATCCTAGATCTCAAATCGTCTTCCGAACAGATATTTTCCCGAACATTGCCGTTGGGTGCCCCTGAAATATCTGGTGACGTTTGTTGCTGACCTGCCTTGTAATATTGTCGGTGAAGCCTTGTAGTTAGCACAAGGTCATCAGGCGGATCGGGTATAGTTCCGTCTGGCTTCAAGGAGAAGCCACAGCCATAACATCGTGTAACCTTGCTGTCCAGAAACGCAAGTCTGGCGAAAACTAAGATTCCTGCTGTAGGCTTTGAACGCTGAGGGTACGTGGGCGGTGTGTTTTCTTTGACTTGCTGGCGTTCATGTTGTTGACAAGGATAATTATAGATGAGATGCGATGATTCTGGGACGTTGAAACCATGACTAGGCTGGATCGGAGCATGGGGCGCGTTGAAAGGCGAAAATGTGATGTTTTGCTCAGAGGCGAAAGTTCCAAGTACAGGAGGGCATGATGTTACCGCATTGGACACGGACGCGAATGAAGGCTGCCATACCTGATTACAAACAAGGGGTCTTCCCTCCCTGCTTTGGTCGGACGTTCCAGGAACAGTTGGATTTGAAGAGACCTTATTGCTTTGAGGGCTCTAATGCAGGCTTCAAGACCCGACTACGAACAACTTGTCTTCCCTCAGTCAATGTTTTATTGCTACCACCTTTTCGTTTTCTTAATCCAACTTTTTGACCTGCGTTCTTTGGCATGTGGGGCACTCAGCGTACACTTTAGCCCAGTCACGATCCATTGTGATATAATGTTGATTGGAAACCAGAGTATTTCCAAGTTTTAGGTCTCTATGGGCTATGTTGTGGCTATGTAGATAATCTAGTCCAGTTACAACATCCCTTGCTCATAACAACAACACATCTGAGAAAGACTCGAACTCGAACTCGGCATCACTGAATGAAGTCCTCAAGAGAACTCACTTTCTTGTCAACTTCAAGAAAATTAAAGTCGAAACACGAGTACTCCATCATAATGGCGTACGGTTCTTGGCAAAATTTCAGGAATTCACACACATTTCTGCGGCCCTTTACCGTGTGAAGTATTGCAGCCTCTTTCTCAAATCTTCGTGTAGGCTCGGCCGACTCTCCTTTCATTCTCTTTACGATGACATTTTGCTCTTCTTTTTCGTAGTTCACCAGATACACAGAGCCAAACGTCCCACTTCCAAGCTGTTCGTTTATACTTATATCTCTCCATTCGAAAAGCGAAAAATTAACAGGAGGTTTTCGTTTTTTCACGAGACACGGTAGCTTGAAAGAAGCTGTCATCTTCGCGCTACTAGCCTGCGAGCTACAATATTTTTATACACAGTGCAAATTTTGTTGAATTTTGGCGCGAATCTTTGATCATGTCAAAGTTCACCAGACCATTTCCGTCTCCTGTAGCAAAATAAGTGACCGTCACGTACGTTTAGCTTAATACAATTTTACTCCGGGGCATCTAGTTTTGAAGCTAGAAAAAATAAGGTTTTGTACTTTTTGCTGCGAATTGTTCCTTTATCAGAATGTTTTTAAACGTATTGAAGGGAACAAGGTACTCATTGGACATGTTGCGTGACAGAAAGCAGGCGATCCGAAAATAAAACTATTATTATTATTATTATCATTATTATTATTATTACTATTACTATTATTAGTCATCTGGCTGGTTAAAGATTCGATGAAACACTATTACGATTATGAACTGGTGATAAATAAATTTCTTCGCGGCCAAAATTTTTTAAATTGTCCGTAACTGGCGCATATAAACCCCTTTTGTAGCTAAAAAAAGGCCAAACAGGGGGTGTTACGCTGGCTAAACCGTCGGAATAAAACAGCTAAAAATAAACGAACAGAATTTCTAAACGTAAATTAGTTTTTGTAAAAGTCTGTTCACCGTTCAGTTTTATTCGATTTACAAACGCGGAAAAAATCTGAAAAAAAAAAAGACGTACGCGGGAGCCTATCCTGAGTCCGCGTTTTACCAGTCCGCGTTTTACTAGTCCTCGTTTTACCAGTCCACGTTTTACTAGTCCTCCTTTTACTAGTCCTCATTTTACAAGTCCAGTCCAGTCCAGTTTAGTCCTCCCAATACAGTATGACCTCGCAAGAAAGAGTCACGTCCGCGTTCATGTAGGGCCGCCTGTGCCTTGATATCATTTTTCTACTGTGATTTTATATTTTCTACCTTGGTATCATTTTAATACCGTGATGTGACATTTTCTACCTTGATATATTTTTACTACTGTGATGAAACATTTTCTACCGTGATATTATTTTACTGTGATCAGGTGATCGAACATTGTATTTATCCAGTTGCCGTGATGTAACATTTTCTAAGTTGAAGTAAATTCATATATATGGAAGCAGCGTGAGTATCTATGGTTTGGAGCTCACGCATTAAACGCCTTTCCTATTTATTTATTTATTTTTTTTATGTTTTTAATTTTTTTACAATGGACACTGGTGAGCAGCACAAAGCAACCCGAGCATCTTGTCAAATTGAGTTATTTCTCCGACCAGTTTCGTCTGATCACACAGACTTTATCAGGGAGTATAACAAGATAGATCTAAGAAGCTAACTTAGTGATACCTAATGATTAAGACAAAAGTCACGTCCCCGTAAGGGTGTGAACAGCAAAAAACAGCCACAAAAAATACGTGCAGGATGTGACTATAATCCCGTGTTAAAAAATTTGCAATGTTTAATTTTGGGGCTCAGGGATGTGGTGTTAAATCCGTGAGTCCCAAAATTAAACATTGCAAAGTGAAAAGATCGGAAAAAACATCAGCGAGATTTTCGAGTGGCATATTTTCCTGTAGTCACCGCAGTTGAGGATTTATGTCGAAAAGTAGAGCACTGGGTACAATTATCTGATTCAAGCACGTTACAAGATTTGTTATTCAGACTCTACTCAGGTAAATTAAGGCATGGGCCCCCAATGATTCAGTCAAAATGTGATGGGGCGTGGTCTATATATATCTCTGAGCACTTATTAGAAAGATGAGACTTTACTAGATACATACATGTGTGGCTTCTGTCAATTTGGTGTTTTTCAATTATGCAAATGTTGTCACGTGACTCCACACGGTCAGAAAAGAACAAAAAGTCCTTAAACAAAAATGGCAAGACTTTTTGTTGTGAGTTATTAAACCGAACTGGTTTAGGACAATGTGTAATGCATGCATCTACAAAACTCTGCTTGGCCTTTTTTGAATTTTATACTGTTTTAGAAAATAAACGGTGTTTTCAACTTGACCCAGTCCCCCAAGGCAATTTTATCCCATCCGTAACGCCTTCGCTTTTCAATATCTAAAAAAAACCAAGTACAGAAGTGATATAGGAGTGGCCTTAACATTATGCAACCGCAGGAGCCGTCGGCTCCTGGCAACCTGCAAAATAATTGAGAACACACGATAAAGTGTTGCCATTTCAAGAACAAGCTTTTTCAGCCGATGGAGGTCACGTGACCTAATTTGCATAATTCCAAAGCACGAAATTGGCACAAAGTAAAAATGTGTGCAGGTGGCAAAGTTTTGTGTCTACATCTTAAGCTCTTAGATATAGACCACCCCCTCACTTTTGAAGTGTGTAAATTGAGGCAAATTGAGGCCCATGCCCCAGTTTACCTGAGTAGGCAAAACGAACAGCACTGATACGAAAGGTTAATTGGAGCTCTCTCTGTTTTTGAGAAGGTTCAATGCTAAAGTAAATTTTCTAATTTTCAAGTTCTGTTCCGTAATTTTTGTGCTTCATTTTTCTTACTGCTCACCAGAGACGCGATTTTTCAAATGAAGTTAGAAAAAGGAACCTCGTAGTCTGTACACAGACTTTCTTCTTTCCAGGAAGCTGATCAATTGGTTGAAGATTTTAGTTTAGACTAGGGAAGCCGGGAATTGCCACTCAAAAATATAAAAAAAAACAAATCGGCAAGTTTAAATTTACGCAACTCAGGCTAAAAGCTACTCTAGGATTTGGGGAGTTTAGTCTGGTATAAAGTAGCAAAAATCAACTGAACAACTACCGTGATGGAACATTTTTTTACCTTGACCGCATTTTACTAACAGTTTGGCCTTCCTAAAGCAAGAGAGGAGCTTAGCCCTTAGCAACTAGCCAATCCAAAACGCCGACATATGTCCTTGCGACTGTGTGGGATTCCAACACGATATTGTGCACAAATTTGCAGACGCTCTATACAGAAGGTTTAGAATGTCTGCGACGCATGCAAGACTACTCTTCTCATGCAAACAAACCTCGCGTCATGTGACTCTAAATTTGCTCCGTGATGGGGTAATTGCTTGTTGTGGTTCGCAGATCAAAATATTTCCAAAAATGGAAATGCTCTAGACTGAGATACTGGGAGTTTTTAATTACTTATCTTTTATCAAATCATAGCATGACGTTAAGGTCTCTAAATAAAGGCCCTAAGGGGGTGTCTCATTTTTTGTCTAGGATTACTTTGGCACATCGTTTCTGTACATGATTGATTACGTCTTGGAAGGTGCGGCATGTTTGTTTCATTGCATGTTCCCCAGTCAATAACCCCCGTAGACATATATCAGCTGGATAAGTGAGTTGTAAAACAAAGTTCTCAGCTTAGATCAGTCACAGAAAATTATTTGTTCTTTTCAAAAGGCCAAGTCGCTTTCCTATATTCGATACGGTTGTTTAAAAACAGTTGTCTATCTTTATGCCAAGTAGTTTAGTATCGGCTACAGAATCAAGTGGAACCTCAACTGTTCTACATTACGATTTCTCCCGTTCAAGCAGTTAGCCCCAAACTTATGCTGTAGACAATCGCTTGCATGCAGGGACGAAAATCATCAGCAAACGCAAACGCAACTTACATATGAGCTTCTGGGACCGAAAACCCGAACTTACCCTATAGGATTCCCTCTATTTTCTCGCCTCCTCCCAAACCGCCCCCGCCCCCTAAGTAGTTTTGCCACTCATGCAAGATGGTAGCCCGTAACGCAAAGCTCTCGATCTCGATGATCTTACGGAAAAATTGGGGACTGTGAACAGTCTATATGTTCAGTTTAGAAAATTAAAAGACACTTTATTCATGTTCACTGAACTGGGAATGGACCCGAATGACGCAGGTATTTTGTAGGAATAAACTTCCTTCGTGGAAACAATCATATCGCAAGGCGGAAAAGTCCCAAGTACATGTTTACAGAACGACTTGCCATTTCATTGGCTTATTCTAATTTTGACTAGGGGTTTTTTCCTACTTATAATTCCGAATAGAGTGTCTGCGGTAACAGACTCCTGATTTTGACTTTTGGTTGCCAGTTGCATAAATCTCTTCTCCCCCCGCTTAAGAACAGGGCTCATGCCGTAGGTCGCATCCTAGTTATAAGCCCTCCCCTAAGCTTCCACTATTACATTTTGAAGCTTAGTTAAATACCAGTAAATGCAAAAAGCATTTGGTTTTAGAGGTTTGCTCATGTTTTCTGAACTTTATGGTGATTACATGGTCACTACACAATTGCCCTGCGAGCAGAGTCTCTTTCGGGGCCGATATTTTCTATAAGATCGAAGGAGACTTTGCTCTCAGGGTACTACACAACCAACATTCCTGAAAATTTTCAGGCGTCCACGCTTTCCTCAGTTTGACAGCAAAATTATTGACAACTCCGTCTTTGAGGTACTGATGATAGTATTTAGTTAGGAGATGATAACTGAAATCTGTAGGAGGATAAACCTCTAATAGATAAAGGTCCCCTTTCGCAAAACACCGAATGGCCACCATAAACACCAAATGACCCTCAAGTTTTATGATAAGAGTTAAGAAACTGAGTGAATCAAGTTTCAGTTAGGTTTGTTATACAGAAAGAACTGAACTGGAATTTGATTCACTCAGTTTTCTAGTCCATGAACGTGTAAGAGACTTTCTCAGATATCTATTCCCCCCCCCCCCCCCCCCCCC